CTTATTCCATTCAAAAATCTTGAACTCTCATGTTTTAAGCTTTACATGCATGTGTATTTATATTGCTTTTATTTTGAAAGTGGGATCCTGAGAGCATCAATGAAGATACAGAGTTCATTATGGGAGTTAAAGCAAACAAGTAAGTTTGGAGTATTATGTATCATGGCAAGGCATGACTGATATTTCACGGGGAGAAAAGTGTTAGAAACTCTTGGCTATTTTTTTTTTTGGCATGAAGATTGACTTTCAATTGGTATCTTAATTTGCTAAGACATTTTATATATTAGATGCAGTTAACTGTTTGTTGCCAACCTTGAAATAACTTTTGATAATGATGTTGCATTCTGAGGAGAAATCATATATTTGAATAGAGAAAAAAGGGCTTGATTTCTCTTGTGGCCAAAAAATTCTTTACTTCTCCTGGAACTGAATAAACAAACATAGATAAGAAAGAGTAAGAAAACAAGGTTTTACAATAAGTTCACACGCCCTTAATAATTCAAGTCCAAGTGTTCCATGGCAATAAATGAAGTTGTTATGTTTTCTTTGTATTTCAGCAATAATTTATCATTTATTTTCTCATTAAAGGGCCCTTGGCTTTGCTGCAACAAGAGGAAAACTCTACTACAGACATCCAGAACTTTTCAAGGTAAATACTTTGTGCTATTCTTGCAACATTGCAGCAAACGCTGTCACAAAGTCTTTGAGGTTGGATTGGTTGTAGGAGAGTAAAGTGGTATTGTCGCTTAAATATAACATTTAATCGTTTGCAAGAAGGCTACATGTTTACTAAGTTATCTTTGAGTTCAAGGGTTGACTAATCTGGGGAATGCAGTGGACATTAATTTTACATAGAAAATATTATAACTTGACACAATTTTTTGGTCAATTGGTCACCCATGACACGACCTTTTAAGTTTATAGTGCCATAAATTCTGTTTACTTGACAACCATGCTTGGTTTTCACTGGCAGTTCATAATTTCGAAATGCTTTGTTGTCTTTTACAGTACTCAGGGGACTCTGATGATAAACTGTGGCTTTATGAACAGAATGAACTGCCTATCACGGGAGGCAAGGTAACAAGATGGAACCAGTAACCTTAAATGATTGTTTCTGTGGACATTTTCTTACACCTGAACATTGTGTTTTATTTTGTTAAGCTGTCAAGCTTTGTTGTTCTGTTTGTAGGCATTTCTTATGATAGCTGATGACATCAGGAAACTGGCTGTTCATCATGACTACAGGTCAGCACTTGTTACTCTACATGACTTTACAGTTTTATCGAGGTTGACTTTATATCAGGCTGTTGTCTGCATGAACGGCTGGCCCAGGTCTCATTAATAATACTTTGTCAAACGAGGTGCAACAGTTTTGAAGCTGATAGTCTGTCCATTGTCGTTTGTTGTTGTTGTTTTCCTCACTGAAGCGTGAGCGAGGGAGGCGAGCGCGCTCTAAAGAGCCTTGAGAGAGAGCGCGATCTCTTTTTTTCCCTTTACCCAACCCCTCCCCTGCTACCCTAGCGCAGTTTCATTTTGTTTGCGCTCTCGGTAATGTTAGAGAAAAGACAAGGTCTGCAAGGTCTGCGAACACTCTAGAAGTTTACAACTCTATTTCTAAATGGTCCTCAACAGGAACAACGAAGGTTTCAATCTGGAGGAGATCAAGGGCTTCAAAGTACCTCCCAGAATGTTGGAGAAGATGAAAAACCACATGAGAAGTAAGCTACAGCGACTTTAGTCCTAAGATTAAAATATAAATTCTCTTTCATCAGTACTACACACTTCTTTTAATTTTAGCTCTGAGAATGTAGTGGTACATCAAGAAACCTTACCTCAGTTGGTGATTTTAGAACATTTTATATCGATAATCACCTCTCATCTTTGCACGCGTTGTTTTAGTACAGTAGCACGTGTTGCATGCTCCCTATGAAATCGTTTCATGTTATTCCTGCTTGTCAATGTAACACAAATGTAGTCGTCTTTATAAAGTCTGCATACGAAACAAGTGGCAAGTGGCTATTAGGAAACCCTTTGTTTGATTCTGCAAGTCACTTGTGGAATGTTTCATCGCATTGTGATCTTTTTGTGTAGAATTAAAGCGAGAGGCGACAGCTCGATCTGAGATCAGAGACAAAGTGAAGGAGGAACAATCAGCTTCTGTAAAAGAAGAGAAAGGACTGGTAGAACAGACACAATACAGTGAAACACCACCACAAACTACTGACAACATCAAACAGGAACAGTGAAACATTCACTGCTACATGCTTCAGAGTGAATAGCGACAACTTACTCAATTAGAATTCTGTGGTCTCAGTTGCAGCCATAAGCGACTTCAAGTCACGAATTGATTTTTTTTTTAAATGCATGTTAATTAATTCCCTAGTTAGGCTTTTTTTTTCCCAAAATAAGAGCCATATAACTGGACGAACTAATTTACTTGAAAGCTTGCCGAAAACGAGTTTCACGAATATTTTCAAACGAAACTACACGCATTTAGGATTTTATCCAAAGTTCTGCAGCAGTTTTTCAGTGGCTTTTCAAAAAATATTACCATCATGAGTTAGAGCAATTTTCAGTTGAGTGTCGTAAAACCAAAACCAAAGTAATCACTTTAGCCAATCACAAAAGACACAGACAATGCAGTGAACCAATCAAAGCTTGAAGTAATTACACGTAGCTGACGCAAAGCGCGGGAAAACGAGTGCAAGTGAGTCACGATTGGTTTTGGTTTCACTTCTGATTGGATAAAAAAGTGGCGCGAGTTTTTAAGCCAATCATGTAGCCTACTTGATGCACAACCAATTAATTTTCGACACTCATGAAAATTACTCTGTCACATAGCTGGTGATCTGACTGCAGCACTGCGAATAACTCGAAAAGGCAATCAAACGGACAACGTACGAGAAAAGCGCAATGTTCCTGCCAAATCGCTAATGATTTGTACCACTCGCCTTAGACTTACTCAAAGTCGGTCGTTTTATTTTTTATGGCGCAGAGGTCTTTATTCTCTCTAAACGAGCAAATTGGATCATTATTCTCTGAGCAAATGCTCAGTTTCTGCGTGTGGGACGCGCGAGGCAACTCCATCGCCTGTGTGAAACTCGAGTTGAAAATGCCGCGTTGCTAGACTTCCGCTCTCAAGCTTTCGCGTTGAACACGCAATAGGCTGATTTAGCAAGAGAACGGGAACGTCTCTTGACGACGGCGCGCGCAGTACCAATACCCAAATATGGTCAAATTAGAACAGAATCCAGGTTATTCCGCGCGCCCTGCAGTCGTCATCTG